TCCCGGTGGGTCTGCAGTAGGCAGTGAGGAGGACTGTGGGGAAGGGGACGGCACCTGAGGGGCTACCGAGGGGGGGGGAGTAGCGTGTGACACACCTGACGGAGCTGGACCAGGAGGGGGGGGCTGTACCGGAGGGGCAGGATGGGGAGCGGGAGTCAGGAAGAGAGGGGGAGGAGGAACCGGGAGACCTCGACAGGGGTACCGGGTGTAGTAGGGGACTGACTCGACAAAACGAATGTCGCGGGAGTCAAAGAACCGGTGAAGGGGGGGGTGGTAAAAGGTGAAGTCAGAGGAGTCCTCCGGGAAACCAAGGAAGACACAGGGAAGAGCGCGAGGGGAGAGCTTGTCCGCGGAGGTGTCGCGAACAAGCGCCAAGCAGCCCCAGACACGAAAACGCGACGCAGCACCAGGGGACCCGGTCCAAAGACTGGTCGGAGAAGCCTCTGGTCGAGAGACACGTGGCCAGAGGTTCAGCTAGTGAGCGGCGTACCGAACCGCGTAGGGCCACAGAAAATGGGGCGCACGGGCGTGGATCATGGAGGTGCGTGCAATCTCCATGACCAAGCCTATGCGGCGCTCAGCAACCCCATTCTGCTGTGGGGACTCTGGAAGCGTCCATGATTGACGGATGCCCTGCTCGCGACAGAATCCAGCGAGAATGCCGGAGCGAAACTCACCCCCGCGGTCGGAGTGAAGACAGCTGACACGACGACCACGAGTGTCCGCAGTGGTACGTAACCACCGGATCAGCGTAGAAGTCACGTCAGACTTCTTCGCTAGGGGAAACAGTGTGGTGTAGTGAGAGTAGTCGTCAACGACCAGCAGAAAGAAACTCTCTTGCTCAGGGCCAGGGCGAGGGGCGGGACCCCAGACGTCCAAGTGGAGAGTCTCAAAGGGCTCGGTGGCTGGACGAAGGGAGGAGGAGGGAGGGGTGGCGCGCAGCCGACCCTCGACACAGGGACCGCAAGGTGGTGCAAGCGAAGGCGGCAGCGACGGCAAGACACGCGTGAGGCCTAAGACAAGACACTGACTAGACATAGTGCGTAGGCGAGGAATGGACGGGTGCCCCATGCGGTGGTGCCACAGAACGGTGGGGTGAGCAAGCGACCGGCAGGAGCAAGATGCGGCAACTGGACCAGACACGAGAACCTGACCAGACACATCTACCTGGTGAGACGCGGCAACCTGGTGAGACGCGGGAACCTGACGGGGGGCAGTGACAGGGGTCAGGGGCAGTAGCTGATGCTGCTGCTGCTGCCGCTGCTTCCGCTGCTGCTGCTGCTGCTACTGCTACTGCTACTGTCGGGGGTCAGTGTGAAGTGTGTAGAGACCAGAGCCCAGCTCAGCGGTAAAGGTGGCGAGAGGCGCGTGCGTGTCCCTGTCGACACAAACCGCAGTCTCGCCAGAAGGCTCAATCCACACACCCACGTGCTGACTCACAAGCGGCCTCACGCCCACCAAGTTCCTCGAGAACGAGGGGACGTGGAAGCCGGTCAGGAAACCCAAGGGAACAGCCGGACACGGAAGCGTAGTAGTGAAGTGAGCAGTGACTGGTCCCGAAGTGGGATCAGCCAGTGCTACAGAGACCGGCTTAGGAAGCGGAGTAAGTGTCGTGCGGGCGCGGAAGAAACAGTGTGAAGCTCCGGAGTCCAGAGTGAAAGACAGCGAAGCGTCCTCCGGTGCAGCTCCTGGACTAGTGTCTACACAAGTACCTACACAAGCAACAGGCACCTCAGCAACACTAGCACCTAAGCTAACAACACTCGAGTAAACAGAGTCAGAAGCACTAGAGTCAACAACAACATACATAGCATGAGGAGTTGCTAAGAGATCAAGCAACTGAGAAGCCGACATGCCCCACAGAGCGGGGCCGTATCGCTGAACAAGGGGAAGCCAGTCAGGGGCAGGGACGTCAACGCCGTAGGCCAACCGAACCGTGTCACTAAGCTGAGCAAAGCACTAACCCGGTGGGTGGCTGCGGCCACAAGGCTGGCCGCGGCGGGCACCTGTCAGAACGTGATAGGTGCAGGGAGGGTGGACGACACCGCGCTGCAGCTGACGCTGTCCTGAACCCTGCCCCGAAACCTGCTGCTGCCGCTGCTGCTGCTGTGGCTGCTGCGAGGGGAGGGGCTGCTGCTGCTGCTGTTGCTGAGTCAGGTACCACGCCGCTGCTCCACCCCCTGCGGCTGGCAGACCAGTAGGTGGCTGACGAACCCGGGCGGCACCTCCACCGGCTGCAGCAGGGGAGTCACCGGCCGCTGCACGAGGCGCTCCTCCAGCCCCTGCACTCCCGTCGCCGCCGCTCGCCACGTCACCCCACCGCCTCCGCCGCCTCCGCCCGCACCCTGACCGCCCCTCCTGCCACTCCTACCCCGAGACCGCGAAGACGTCGTAACAGCAGCTGCGGTCACGTCAGTAGCGGCAGTGGTGAGGGAGACAGTAAAGGTGGGCAGCTGAGGGACAGTGCACCCGTGAAACAGTGGAGGGGGCACAGCACCGGAGGCAGAGGCTACCGAGCGGAGGTTGCTCTCGACGTCCTTGAGGGCCGACTCAAGGACCTCGATAGTGAGCTCGCTAGGGTGCTTCAGAAGAAGCGCATCACGAACCAAGGCAAGGCGGTCAGGGAGGCTAGTGATGATGGAATAGATAGTAATCGCCATGGGGGGAGGGAGCAGTGCAAGCTGTGCGTCAGTGCAAGCAGCGCGGTAGCTAGAATCGAGCGAGCGCAGATGAGTGATCAAGTCAGCAGTGCGCTCAAACGAGGCGAGGTCAAGAAACAGGAACTGAAGGAACATGCGACCAAGAGAGACAGTGGTGGGAGTAGCGTAGCGGGCCTTGATCGCAGTCAGGAACTCACTAGCCGTGCGAACCTGAGTGAAGTGGGTCTCCTCAGACTCAGGGAGGAGGCTGCTGAGGGCGATGCAGGCCGCAGCGTCACGCGACTTCCACGCGGTCACGTCAGCACGCTCGCGTGCATAACGGTCACTGTCTGCAGGTGTGGGGTCAGCTGCTAAGGGTGCAGGGTCGTCGGGCTTAGGAAGGTCGCCAGAAGCGTGCGCCCACAGAGACTCATCTGCCTGAACCTGACTCTCTAAAAGGCGGCGCGCACGCAGGAGCCAGACGGAGAACTCAAGCGGCCTACCCTCGGCGTCAAAACGCAAGAACCTAGGGGTCGCCATAGCGGAAGCTAACAGGTGGTAACCGCTGTTGCCGAAACCCTAAATGCCTAAAGGGCCTGCGTAGGGCGTGACAGACAGTGCGACGCGACGGGACAGGACGCAACTGGCAGGGACGGGCGCGACAGGTGCGGACAGGCAGAGTGCACGGGGCGCGACGGACGGGCAGGGCGCAGCGGGGGCGCGACGGACGGGCAGGGCGCAGCGGGGGCGCGACGGACGGGCAGGGCGCACGGGGTGCGACGGACGGGCAGGGCGCAGCAGGGGTGCGACGGACGGGACAGCAGGGGCGACGGGACGGGACGGGACGGGACGGGACGGGACATCAGGGGCGACGCAACGGGACAGCAGGGGCGACAGGACGGGACGGGACAGCAGGGGCGACGGGACGGGACGGGACAGCAGGGGCGACGTGACGGGACAGCAGGGGCGACGGGACGGGACGGGACGGGACAGCAGGGGCGACGGGACGGGACGGGAGAGCAGGGGCGACGGGACGGGACGCGACAGCAGGGGCGACGCGACGGCAAGCGCAGCGGGCGCTAGGGCACGAGAGAGACAAGCGTGATAGGTGCTAGGGGACCGTACGGGCGTAACGGGCACTAGGGAACGGGACAGGCTCAGGCGCTACGGACGTGAACGAGAGGAACGGGATCCCACAGGATCCTAACCTAGGTGATACCATGTCAAGAATGAAAGTGTTGGTTTGACTAAGGTTGGTTGGGGTACATAAACCTAACCCTAACAGTTGTAACCCTTATAACACACATCACTGAGACTACAACATTTGACACAACGTCGCTTCTGCTAGAAATCGAGCAGCGGGGGACAGCACGTCTCTTCTGCTGGGAACCGAGCAGCGGGGGACAACACGTTGCCTGCCTGCACCTGTTTCTGCCAGCGCTGCTTTTGCTAGAAATCGAGCAGCGGGGGACAGCGTCGTTTTTGCTAAGAATCGAGCAGGGGGGGACAGTGTCGCTTCTGCTAGGAACCGAGCACCGGGGTATAAGCTTGCACGTTCGCGACTCACCCCACCCTTTCGAACTGCACCTTCCAGACATGACTCCACTTGCACCTGCTTCAAATTGCGCACGCACCAGCACGTTGCACCTTGGCAACACCACCACCAGCCCCACCTACCCACGATACTGTAACCGCTTCTGCACTGCATCTCTCGTTGCATCCGTGCTACTGTGCGCGGATTCGCCACATGTGTTACACATCTAGCTGCACGTATATGACACTTTCTCGCCCTCACTTCAAAAAAAAAAAAAAAAAAAAAATGCGGATGACGAACCGTGAGCGGGACAGAACGCCTGAAGACTCAGACCCCCACCCCTCTCGTCCTCCTAATAGTTCGCGCTCAACTCCGGCTTTCGCAACCCGTCCGATTCAACAGCCACGCTCACACCCACGTCCGCCATCTGTCCCTACTGAGCCGGCCGCCACACACATTTCTTCATCATCGCCAGAATCAGCTGCTCCACAACCCCCAGCCTCTTCTTCTCAACACCCCAACTCCTCAGCCAAGCCGCGCTTTGTTTCAAAGAGCAGAAGAGCGTACGTCATAAAGTCCTTGCTGATACCTTAGCCTCCTCCTCCCAACAACTCTCTTCACGCCAACCTGAACCTGCAGCTGTGCCAAATTCACAACCTTCTCCTTCTTCTCCTCCTCCTGCTGCACCTCCTACTACGGCCACTGACTCGTCTCCTCCACCTACGTCAGTCCCGACCCCAAGATACCACTGCACTACCCGTAACCGCAACTTTGGCAGCTCGGGTGGTCTTACTCGCCACCTCTCCGCTTGCTCCCGCAACAACACAATGCGTCAGCAATCAGCCCGCCCTCCTCCCCCTCGTGCCACCGCTACTCCCTCATCCTCTTCAGCACCCCCACCGATATCTCAACAGGCTTGGGACTCTGTCGCAACATGGGACTTGGGGACGTTCTTCAGCCCCACTGTCACCCCAGGCCCACTATTGCGTCGGATTCCGCCGCGTGTTCGCCTGCTAGTCCTGGATGCTGTACTCATACCACTTCGCCGCCTTGCCATCCTTCCTCAAGATCTTGCTGCTCATTTCCTCCTCCTGGCTTTCCCCCATCTGGTGCTTCGCTCTTCCATTTCTCCTGCCTCACAATCAGCCACAGCAGCATGCGCAGCCTTTGCACGTCGTTTCATTCAAGGTGATTGGCTTTCTCTCTTCAACGAAGCTATTGCTGCTGCCGTTCCAGCGTCTCGACCGCACAGTCTATCGTCCGCCCGGTCCACAGCCACGTTCGCCCGTCTGAACCGAGCCAAACGATTCGCGCATTGCGGGGACTGGTCATGTTCCCTTGCCGCTTTAGAGGCTGATGAGCTTGCCCCACCGACCCCTGAAACTGTTACTGCGCTCAAGGCCAAGCACCCTCCTGCTACCGAGGAACTTCTGGACTGGCTGACCGACTTCTTGCCTTCAGAAGTGCCTCAGCTCACCATTCCACTTCTTCATCAGGCCTTGCGGTCAGCCCCTCGCGGCACAGCTGCTGGCCTTTCTGGTTGGCTCATTGAGCACCTTAGCGATACCTTTCTTTCATACCAGTCACACCTACCGCATCTTCTCCGCCTGTTCCAGAATTGGTTGCAAGGCGACCTCCCGCAGACAGTTCGACCTTACTTCACCGCATCTACTCGTGTTGCCCTTCAGAAGCCGCAAGGAGGCGTTCGCCCCATTGACATCGGCGAGATACTTCCGCGCCTACTATCTCGTTGTGTTACCCTTCACTTCAAGCAGCAGATTCGATACTTCTTCCTTCCCTCGCTACAGTTTGGGGTTGCTGTCTCCGCGGGGATCGAGGTTATGGCCCATGCAGTCCAGTCGGCCCTTTCCCTCCACCCAGAGTGGGTTCTGCTGGAACTGGATGTTGCCAATGCCTTCAACTCCTTCAGCCGTTCCGCTATGTTCAACGCCCTCCGAGACTCCCCGTTCTACAGCATCATCCCCTTCTTTCGCCTCTTCTATGCCTCCCCCTCTTCTCTCCATTACCGCAGCGGCCCATTAATCGAGACACTGCAGTCATCATCGGGTGTTCGACAGGGTGACCCATGTGGGCCATTCTTGTTCGCCCTCACCCAGCACCTAGCCATTCGCCCAATCCAGCGTCAATCTCCAGCTCTTTTCATCACCTCCTACGCGGATGACACGTATATGGTCGGCCCTGCGCATGACATGTTTCCTGCCTACACAGCGCTTACAACTCGTCTCAATGACCTGGGCCTAAGGGTGCAACCATCAAAATGCTCCCTCTAGGCCCCTTTGGACCTCCCTTCGGACCTCACACCTCCATCAGACATCGTCATTGCCCCTAACGGTCTCACGGTTGCAGGAGTGCCTATCGGATCGGACACCCACATGATCTCTACAGTTTGAGACAAACTGCACTCTTTCTCTTCATCACTGCCTCTCCTGCATGACCTTCATGATCCACAGACTGCCTCTCGCCTCCTTACTCTCTGCATTTCCGCGCGTCCCTCATTCCTCCTCCGCACAGTTGCACCATTTCCCGAGGTAGAAGAGCTTTACACTGACTGGGACAACACCTTCCTGGACCACTTTGTTCGCCTCATCGGCTCTGACTACTGGCCTCCTGCATTTGACCACACTACCACAGCACACCGACAGCCATTCCTTCCCATTCGCCTTGGTGGGTTTGGCCTCCTTTCTTCAGCTGCAACTGCTTCTCTCAGTTACTTGTGCAGATGGGCGCAGACAGTTTCACTCCTCTCGTCATGCTTCACCATTCATGGCTCCCCTATTTTCCGTCCCTTCATCACTTCAGACACCATGGACCACCTTGACCCATGCATTCCCACAGCCATGTCCAAACTTCATCCTACCATTCGGCAACACTTCCCTACCTGGCCCGCACTTCACGCTGGCTATCCACAGAAGCTATATTCCTACCTTTGACAGCACTTGGAGGCTGTCATGCTCGAGCGCGTGCGATCCACAGTAACCTCTCCCCAACATTAGGCCCGTTTAACCTCCTTACAAGAGCCCCATGCTGGAGATTGGCTTACTGTGGCTCCATGTTCTTCGCATATGCAGCTTTCATCTACGGAGTGGTGTATTGCAGCCGCTATTCGTCTTGGCCTCCCCATTCCACACCTCACGACCACCCGCACATGCAATTGTGGCTCGGCATTCACAGACCCTTCAGTCGTCTCTCACGTCCTCCGCTGCCCATCCTCTAACGAGCCTACCAGGGTCCACGACGCCATCAAGCATGAGGTTCATCGCATCACGTCCGAGCTTGGTTACGTTGTGCAGCTGGAGGACTCCCACCTTCTTTCAGGCCGTCGCCCAGACATCAGCTGCCGTGACATCAGCTCTGGGACTACGTGGGCATTAGATGTTTTTGTTGCAGACCCCCAGCATGGTCCCCCAAACTCCAAGACTGCATCAGTAATCGGTTCAGCTGCATCTGCTCGTAAAACTGAGAAGCGGACCCTGTATGCATCTTCGTTACAAAACCGCCTAGACGTGAAGCTTCTTCCTCTTGTTCTTGAAACCTTCGGTTGCTTCAGCACGGCGTTTCTCAGCTTCATCAAAGACTGCAACAGACGAGGGGCGACTCGACTTCGTGACATGGGTGGTGCATCTGACCTGGTTCCAGAGCTCTTCGAGACTAGCTACTTCAAGAGGATTTCCTTGGTGCACCAGCGTGAGCAGGCTCGAACCATCTGCCGTCGGACACAAATTCGTTACAGTGTTGACACACCCTCCGCCCCACCAGATCCCACCCCACCTTCCTTGGCTGATTTTGCGTACCTTGGTGTTGGTTCTTGAGACCTCATTGGGGGTCTCAACCTAGGGTTGCAGTTGGGCCATTGCTACTTAGCTAGCCTTCTCATGCTCAAATCCGTCTGTATCTCTTGTTACACATATACATTGTAAATAAAGCAGTCTCATTACCAACAAGATTCGACGTTAACGTCGGAAGGGTTGCGTAGCAGTTATATTTTTTGTACAAAGACATGAGAAAATGGTTTATATTATACTTATGGTACTTAGAGAAAGCGACGAACTATGTTATCCCTCTTTATAACAGGCTTGTTAGTTCCTTATTTTGTTATTGCTCAAGGTTCTTTTTTCTTACCATTGATGGTTGTTCATGGGGAAAGATTTGAATTAAAAAAAAAAAAAAAAAATCATAAGCAATATTGTTTTCTACGTACATATCACACTATCATATGACTGCAGTGGGTTTGTGAATTTGCTGCCAAATCTTATGTGTCAGCTTGTTGGGTAGCATGTTCATGCTCTTGCTGTCATATGACACTAGGTTCCAAATATTGTGTCTTCGTGTTTTTTCTATATATATATCATATGCCCAACTAGCTAACAATTCGCCCCATCGTTTTTTTTTTCCACACCACGCATTTGTCATATTCGACTTTCTTGATTTTGGTGAGTATAACCGAAATCTGGTGTATTTTGATTGTAAAAACTGGTTCGTGCCTGGTTGGCAGGAAAGTTTCTTGCCAGCACTACACAAATCCAATCCCTCACTTTCCCCACTGTCAACTCTGCTCCCTTCTTGGGAGTCCCGTTTCTTGAATTCAAAAACTCTGATCTCCCGTTCTCTCCCCACCCCAGATACCTTCCCAACCCTGTCGCCATTCCCTATCAGGCATCTCGTTTTTAGTAACACTCTGCCATCACCTCTCCCTCACTCCCGGCCGACGCCTCTCCTCACTCCCCACCGTTGCCTCTCCCTCCCTCCCCGCCGTCACTCTCCCTTCCTCCTCGACGTCTCCTCCATCTCCCTTTCCGCCGTCGCCTTTGGTGGGTGCACGAGCACGAGCACGGGTTGCTGCACGACCGCGCGTTGTTTTCGTAGGCACGGTTGTCTCAGGTGCGTTTCCTTCTCCATCCGAAATGTCCTATTTTTTCCACTTTCCTTGTAAGTTCTCTGTGCCAATTAGTCTCCTCTTAGCATTGTGCCTCCATTTTAAGAAGGGGAGAGAGGCAGTGTGAGGGAGTGTGTGCGCACGGGAGTGAGCACGCAGAAGCGCTGGCGCCTATCGCGCTGGCGCCTAGCGCACTGGCGCCTAGCTCGCTGGCGCCTAGCGCGCTGGCACCTAACGCGCTGGCACTTAGCCCGCTGGCGCCTAGCGCGCTGTCGCCAAGCTCGCTGGCGCCAAGCGCGCTGGCGCCAAGCGCGTTGGCGCTTAGCGCGCTGGCGCCTAGCGTGCTGGCGCCAAACGCGCTGGCGCATAGCGCGCTGGCGCATAGCGCGCTGGTGCCTAGCGCGCTGGCGCCTAGCGCGCTGGCGCCTAGCGCGCTGGCGCCTAGCGCGCTGGCGCCTAGCACGATGGGGCCTAACGCGCTGGCGCTTAGAGCGCTGGCGCCTAGCGCGCTGGCGCCTAATGCGCAGGTGCCTAGAGTGCTGGCGCCTAGCGCGCTGGCGCCTAGCGCGCTGGCGCCTAGCGCGCTGGCGCCTAGCGCGCTGGCACCTAGCGCGCTGTCACCTAGCGCGCTGGCACCTAACGCGCTGGCGCTTAACGCGCTGGCGCCTTACGCGCTGACGCTTAGCATGCTGGCGCCTAGCGCGCTGGCGCTTAGCGCGCTGGCGCCTAGCGCGCTGGCGCCAAACCCGTTGGCGCATAGCGCGCTGGCGCTTAGAGCGCTGGCGCCTAGCGCGCTGTCACCAAACGCGCAGGCGCCTAACCCGCAGGCGCCTAGAGCGCCGGCGCATATCGCGCTGGCGCCAATCCCGCTGGCTGGCGCCTATCGCGCTAACGCCTATCGCGCTCGCGCCTATCGCGCTCGCGTCTATCGCGAAGCGCCTATCGCGCTGGCGCCTATCGCACGGGCACCTACCGCGCTGGCGCCTATCGAGCTGGCGCCTATCGCGTTGGCTGGCGCCTATCGCACTGGCTGGCGCCTATTGCGCTGGCGCCTATCGATCTGATGCCTATCGCGCTGGCGCCTATCGCGCTGGCTGGCGCCTATCGCGCTGGCTAGCGCCTATCGTGCTGGCGCCTAACGCGTGGGCGCCTAACGCGTTGGCGCCTATCGCGCTAGCGCCTAACGCGCTGGCGCCTAACGCGCATTCGCCTAACCCATAGGTGCCTAGAGCGATGGCGCGTATTGCGCTGGCGCCTATCGCGCTGGCGCCTATCGCGCTGGCGCCTATCGCGCTGGCGCCTAACGCGCTGGCGCCTGACGCGCTGGCGCCTATCGCGCTGGCTGGCGCATATCGCGCTGGCGCCTAACGCGCTCACGCCTAACGTGCTAGCGCCTATCTCGCTGGCTGGCGCCTATCGCGCTGGTGCCTACCGCGCTGGCGCCTACCGCGCTGGCGCCTACCGCGCTGGCGCCTGTCGCGCTGGCGCCTGTCGCGCTGGCGCCTGTCGCGCTGGCGCCTGTCGCGCTAGCGCCTGTCTCGCTGGCGCCTGTCTCGCTGGCGCCTGTCGCGCTAGCGCCTGCTGCGATGGCGCCTATCGCGCTGGCGTTTAACACGCTGGCCCCGAGCATGCTAGTGCCTGTCGCGTTGGCGCCTGCCACGCTATCGCCTAACGCATTGGCGCCTATCGCGCTGGCGCCTATCGCGCTGGCGCCTATCGCGCTGGCGCCTATCGCGCTGGCGCCTTAAGTGCCCGCAACTTTGGCAATGTCGACTCTTTCCTTAGTCCTCTTGGGCACGCCTTAGTGATTGGTGCTAAGAGCGTTAGCCCTAGGGTGCTCACGCCTTAGGTGCTGGTGCCTTGGGCGCGGGTGTTGACCCGATGACGCATGCACCTAGAGCGCTGGCAGTAGTAGCGCCATGGGCGTTGATGCCTTGGGCGACTTTGTCATGCTTTTGGAGTTCGCGTGTTTGCGCCTAGAACGCTAGGTGTGTTTTTTGTGCCAATACTTCCCAATTATCCTTTTTGCTCTCTTTCCTTTCTGATGTAGGTGATACATCCCGTGCATGCTGAGGTGGTGTGCGCGTGATGCCTTGAAACCACATATATGAGTCGTCAAATTGGATTTGCCTCCCGTATTCATCATCTTTCATAACACTTTCCATCATGCATTACTATTTCTAATGCAGCACGCTGACACCTTGCTGCAGTGCGCTAACGCCTTACATAATTCATTGCACTCACTCACAGCCATATTATATGTCTTGCGTGACCTGTGTTTTGCTGGATGTGCGAGCCGCTTTGTGGGAAGCAGAATGTGGAAGGCGAGGGGTGGCAAAACGTGGGGACAAAGAGGGAAGGGGAAAAAGGATAGGTAGGGGGAGCAGGCTAGCAGCGATTGTGATGTATTCAGGGTTCTTGCGACTCTTTGTTATGCTTGTTTGTTCTCTCTCCTCATTGTATGTATATATGTGTGTATATATACCGTGTGTCAGTGCATGTGTGTGTGTGTGTGTGTCAGTGCATGTGTGTGTATGTGTGTGTGTGTGTGTGTGTGTGTGTGTGTGTGTGTGTGTGTGTGTGTGTGTGTGTGTGTGTGTGTGTGTGTGTGTGTGTATGTGTGTGTGTGTGTGTGTGTGTGTATGTGTGTGTGTATGTGTGTGTATGTGTGTGTGTGTGTGTGTGTATGTGTGTGTGTATGTGTGTGTGTGTGTGTGTGTGTGTGTGTGTGTGTGTGTGTGTGTGTGTGTGTGTGTGTGTGTGTGTGTGTGTGTGTGTGTATGTGTGTGTGTGTGTATGTGTGTGTGTGTGTGTGTGTATGTGTGTGTGTGTGTGTGTGTGTGTGTGTGTATCGTGTGTGCGTGGGTGTGTATTGTGTGTGTGTCAGTTGGTTGTGATTATTTCAGAGTGTGTTGCTGGTACGCATCGTGTTTGCAGCTGAGGTTGTCATCGTCGTTGGCGTAGTGTGTTTTCACTATCTCAACGACCCCGTCAATCTCAGTTGTAGCATTGGTGCATATTAAACATCCATTTTGATGTCGTCACAACTTTTTTCGTGACGTTTGCATTTCGTGTTTGTGAGATGTGTGTGTTTCAAGGCGAGGTGTTCCAATGCATCATGTATGCAACTAGAGGTTGTCATCGTCGTTGGTGCAGCGTGTTTTCGTTGTTTCAACGGCCCCATCAATCTCTATTGCTACGTTGATACTGTTGGGCTGATGTTTGTTCTGTCGATTGTTGTTGTTGTTGTTGTAGCGCCGTTGAGTGTGAAACGCGAATTCTGGTGCTGACGCTCTTTTCTTGTGTCGTTCTTCGTGTAGGTCCATGTCCTGCTGTTCAGCGTGAATTTCGGCGCAGAGTGCCGCTTCGGAGATCTTCCCGTGAGCTCGGAGTATAGCTCGGGTGGAGCGCCAATGAGAACCGAGGCCAGTGATGACGACTGTCACGAAGGCTTCTTCGGATATCGATCCTCCGCATCGATGGAGTCTGTCGCGCAGTCCACGACACCGGCTAATATACGCCATCCCCTTTTCCACGGGTTTCATTTCTACTGTTGTAAGTTGTGCCTTGAGACGACTCTGGTTGACACTGTCCGTTGCTTCATACAGGCTCTTCAGATGGTTATACGCGAGTTCGGCGGAGTTATCGTATCCACGATAAGACCGGATGTTCTGCTGCTCATTCGGCGTTATATTGCGTAGGAGTATCGTGTATGCCATCAGCGACTGATACGTGTACTACTGCTTGTCGTATCGTGTTCCGTTCGTTGGGTATGGCAGGGACCCGTCGAAGAATCCGAGAATCTGCGCGCCTTCCATCATCAGTTCGAACTCAAAGGACCAGGTATAAAAATATTTTCCGTCGAAGGGTGTTGATGTCTGTAGTTTCAGGACGTGTGCGAACGACGACTGGACCTGAAGAGCGTCCAGTGTCTTCTCTTGTCCAGGTGAAGGCTGTTGGTGTGGCATGAAGCTGATGGAGCCGCGTTGAGGCTCGTACAGAGCAAAGGTAGGCTGCTGCTGATTTCCGCGCGCGTAGGATGAGCCATCGAGACTCATGGGTATGACATCGTAGTTGTTGTTGCTGTTGTTTGACTGTGCAGGTCCCGTTTGCTGGTGTTGCTCGTAGAAGGACATAAAGGAGAAGAACTTCTCCATCATGCTTGGATCGAAGCCTGTTGGTTGATTCGTGGGAGTCTCAGTAGACTCGGCAGCTGGTCTTGTTGCCGTACCTCCCTCTGTCTGTAGGCCAGAGGCTGGAGGTGGAGTAGGAGTAGTGCCAGGAGAGTCGTTAGAGGAGCTTCTCTCCTTCTGCGTTGCCATGCCTTCAGTTGTTGTAGGAGTATTAATGAAGTTGGATCTTGCCTTGTGAGCTCTCATACCATGTTGGGCTGAGAAAAGCCCTTGGGATCGTTTCAAGGCTAAGACCCTGTGTAGGAATGTTGTAATAGCGGAAACGTTCTTAGTGAACTATTGAACCACCTTGCACTGGTGTGTGAGAGCAAGAGATTAATTATAGCAAAGTAATACAGGGCTTTTATATGATTACAAGGGATATGAAAGGATGCAGATAACTGTTGCTGTAGCTGTTGCGGTTCGATATAGCGACGGCTCGGGCAACTGCTCAATGTCGGGTCAGTTGTGTGTCCTTGCTGCCGTGCTGTCCTTTTGTCAAGTCAAGGGTCGGCGACCTTTGACCTTCGCGTAACCTCCAGCTGTTGTTTTCTGTCAACCTCCTCGGTTGACTCACCGCTGCTTCGCTGTAGTTCATCTCGTTTGTAGTTCCGTGTTTCGACACAACAGAAGCATTAATTAATTGTTTCCAACAGATACATTGTAAGATTTCTTGAAGCATCCGCATCACACTTCATACCGTGTTTTTTTGTACAAATGTATTCGCTCATGTTGATGCCATGTTCAATCGTACCATCCGCCGTATTAATCGACGAGCTGGGACGGACGAAACAAATTCGTGGTTTCAACATGATCTGTAATTGGTTTCACTTTTGGAATTTCATTCAAGAGTGATTTTTATTCACTATTTGAGGCATTCCTAAGCGGGTGCTCCAAAGAGTGCTCTAAAAATCACTCTTGAAATGATATCCCCAAAAAGTGAAATCGATTATATAGGGTTGCTACGCGACCCAAAAAGTCCCCTGAGTGCTACCTGACGTCACGTGATCCGTGAGAGGGCGTTTCACCCAGAAGGACTAGGTCGATACACATTCAGCCAGCAAGGTCTATCCAGCGCGACAGATCCGTACAATCAACACCGCAGCACACTCACCCACAGGCATGGCCGTGACTGAGGCAACAGGTACACCCTCTTTCGCGCCACACTGTCATTGGCCATATTGACGGACCGGCTGTACTGACATCAATGCGTCCAGAATGGTCCCAGAACATACCATATAAGCACATTTGCCGCACTCAACCGTACGCAAAAGCAAATTGTCTTCCATAAAACGTTGCGTACCGTTCCTCTGGAGTGGATTTGCCCGCCACCTACCTGGGGTTCGGTTGCAAGCACCAGATCGCTAGGGTCCAAGCAACAGTACGCACTGTAGCCAGTGCTGGCGAGAAAGAGGGTGTAGACCGAAGAGCTCACACTTGCATTGCTTGCCTTGTTGCCAGTTTTCCATCACAAGATTCAGCAAAAAACGGACTCTCTTTGCTATTTCGTATGAAATCAGTCAGCCATAGTGGTCTTGCTGGTAAGGTTTGGCGTAAGTCCCGCTGCGTGCTCCACGTTTTTATGCACCGCACAGAAGGCAGACTCAAGCGTGCTTCCCCGCCATTTTTTTCTTCGCTGTAGATTGGCCACAAGAGAATATTGTATATTTTATTCGGGTGGCTGGTTTACTGGTGTCAGCACAGCAGCATGCTTCAAGCGTGTGCGAGGTTAGCTGGAGATAGAAAGCAGCTGTTACGTGTAGTCCGGACACCGAAGCAGAATCTATGCGCTGCGAGAGGCTATCGTGGACCGTTGATTCGACATCTGTAGATCCTTTCCGGACTCCGCTGAGCCTTTCCCGTTCATTTGGAGCCTGTAGTTTCAGAATCGTTCCTTTCCGTACAAGAGTTCAGGATTGATGAGACCAAGACAGGAGGTCACGACTCACAATGCATGCATGATGGGGGACTTAGACGAACACGTCATTCCTCCCCATAGTTTCCCAGTTTCGCCGTACTTGCGTACGAAAAGGCGTGCGTGACTTAACCATCCAAGCGTACTATAGGCTAGGCTCGGGTGTATACTGTACATAGTAACCCAATGTGCGATTCTGCTTGAATAATCTTCTAAACCTTCGCTCACTCGTCGACAGCTGACTCTTTAAAGCGTTCAAAATCTTGCCTGCTACTAGCTTCTAGAAGCCCTCAAAAGACTGCTCACTCGGAAAGACGTGACCCCAAAGTGACAATCTCCGTGAAAGAGAGTTAACAGAGAATAGAGATAACAGAAACCGTTGTATAGCGAGGACAGCAGATGGGACTGACGTCAGTGGTTAGAATAATGGACGCGGCGGCATCGGCCATGCTGGCCTCTCACCACCACCAAGGAATGGCGGTCCCTGGGGATCGCGCGCACGGTGCGGTTGCGGAGACGACAACTGAGGCGCCTCGAACATCGCCTCGAAAATCGCCTCAAAAATCGCCTCACGACGCGGCGGGATCAGCCATGCTGGCCTCTCATCACCACCACCAAGAAATGGCGGTCTCTGGAGATTGCGCTACGGGCGCGGGTGCGGAGGCGACACGCCTTAGAAGCTCCGCGCACTCCCCGCAACAGGCGCAACCCGCGCAATCTCCGCAATCCGAGATCGTTCCTGTCGGGGACGCGGGGAGCGGCGCGCAAGCGCAAGCGCTAGATCCGGCGGAGAAGCGGCTTCTGGAGCTGGGGTACCGACAGGAGTTGAAGCGACGCCTGGTGGGGCTCTGGTGGGAGATGGGGGAGGGTGGGGGGGCGGGAGTGGGGAGGGGGGGTAGATCAGGGTGGCCTATGATCTGAGTCGACTCAAGAGAAGGGACCTTTGTAGCTGGGGTATTGAAAGAGCGGGAGCGACGCCTGGTGGGGCTTTAAGGGGGGAAGGGTGGGTGGGGAAGGGTCAGGATGGGTCTGAGGTGTGAAAGAGGTTTGGGGATCCAGGGGTCGGCTAGGAGTGAGTCTTGAGGTGAGGATTCTCAGGGAGCACTTACATTCCTGCCTCTACCCCCCTTCCCAGAAGCAGCAGCAGCAGCGATCATGAACCCCTACATGACGGAAGTGCCTTCCTGCACTTCCTACCCTTCCTACTCCTTGCCACAACTCCCTCCCGCCTCCCAAGGCTGGTTGGAGATATTCGGCGTGTCAGCAGCAGTCATGAACCCATACATGACAACCATGCTCCTCCTGCCTTCCCTTATTGACGCCATTGCCCCCTCCACTGGTCAGGGCTGGTTGGAGATTTCCGGCGTGTCAGCAGCGTGTCAGCAGCGTGTCAGCAGCATGTCATGAACCCCTGCATCACGGTCGTGCCTTCCTGCTCTTCCCACTCCTTTCCACGCCCATCTCCCCCCTCTCAGGGCTGGTTGGAGATCTTCGGCGTGTCAGCAGCGGTCATGAATCCCTACATGACGGCAGTGCCCTTCTTTGGCTTCGCGCTGCTGCAAGCCGGCCCCGTGGGCGTGGTGTGGCCCTGGGTGGTCCTCGCACCCTTCGCCCTCTGCATGGTGCTCGTTATTGCGGAAGTCTGCTCCTCCTTCCCTGTGAGTGTGCTGCTCTATCTGCTTCTCCTTCCTCTAACCCTCACATTGCCCGTGCTCCTCTATTTCCGGGCGGCCAGCCTGTCTCCCCCACCCATCATGCCCCCCCCTGTGCTCCCCCCGTCTTCTCCAGTCCCCCTGGAGACTCCCTCCAGTATTTCTGGGCTGCCAGCCTTCCCCCATCCGTCCCTTCCCACTTTTTCCTCGCTTCTTCCTCTCCCCAATCCCCCCCGCCCGTACCCACCTACCTCGTCCATGCCCAACCACTCTCGCCTCTACGCACTGTAGGCGTCAGGCTCGCTGTATTCTGGGCGGCCAGCCTGTCACCGCCGCGGTGGAAGCCGCTGGTGGGCCCCACCCAATCCATGTCCCACCTGTCCTCCCCCATACCCCTCCTGTCGTCCCCCTATCTCCACCCCCCTCCTGCAGACATCTGGCTCGCTCTACTTCTGGGCGGCCAGCCTGTCACCGCCCCGCTGGAAGCCGCTGGTGGCGTGGGTGACAGTGTGGCTCGAGGTGATCGCTCTCTCTGTGTGCGCCAGCAGCATCGCCTTTCCAGGTATGCGTGGTGTTGCTTGCCCTATCCTTCAAGGCCGCACCACCTGCCTGAAGCCACGCCATCACCCAAGCAGCCGCGGTGGAAGCCGCTGGTGGCGGGGGTGACGGTGTGGCTCGAGGTCATCGCTCTCTCCGTCTGTGCCAGCAGCATCGCTTTCCCAGGTATGGCTGATGCGCCTGCTCCGTCCCAGGTATGCGGGGTCTTCCTTGCACTATCCCCGCTCCAGCAGTCACGGCGAAGCTGCTGGTGGCGTGGCATGGGTGACAGTGTGGCTCGAGGTGATCGCTCTCTCCTTCTGGGCCAGCACCATCGCCTTCCCAGGTATGCGTGGTCTTCCTTGCACTCTCCCCGCTCAAGTAGTCGCGATGGAAGCCACTCGTGGCATGGGTGACGGTGTGGCTCGAGGTGATCGCTCTCTCCTTCTGGGCCAGCACCATCGCCTTCCCAGGTATGCGTGGTCTTCCTTGCACTCTCCCCGCTCAAGTAGTCGCGCTGGAAGCCACTCGTGGCATGGGTGACGGTGTGGCTCGAGGTGATCGCTCTCTCCTTCTGGGCCAGCACCATCGCCTGCCCAGGTATGCGTGGTCTTCCTTGCACTCTCCCCGCTCAAGTAGTCGCGCTGGAAGCCACTCGTGGCATGGGTGACAGTGTGGCTCGAGGTGATCGCTCTCTCCTTCTGGGCCAGCACCATCGCCTTCCCAGGTATGCGTGGTCTTCCTTGCACTCTCCCCGCTCAAGTAGTCGCGCTGGAAGCCACTCGTGGCATGGGTGACAGTGTGGCTCGAGGTGATCGCTCTCTCCTTCTGGGCCAGCACCATCGCCTTCCCAGGTATGCGTGGTCTTCCTTGCACTCTCCCCGCTCAAGTAGTCGCGCTGGAAGCCACTCGTGGCATGGGTGACAGTGTGGCTCGAGGTGATCGCTCTCTCCTTCTGGGCCAGCACCATCGCCTTCCCAGGTATGCGTGGTCTTCCTTGCACTCTCCCCGCTCAAGTAGTCGCGATGGAAGCCACTCGTGGCATGGGTGACGGTGTGGCTCGAGGTGATCGCTCTCTCCTTCTGGGCCAGCACCATCGCCTTCCCAGGTATGCGTGGTCTTCCTTGCACTCTCCCCGCTCAAGTGGTCGCGCTGGAAGCCACTCGTGGCATGGGTGACGGTGTGGCTCGAGGTGATCGCTCTCTCCTTCTGGGCCAGCACCATCGCCTTCCCAGGTATGCGTGGTCTTCCTTGCACTCTCCCCGCTCAAGTAGTCGCGCTGGAAGCCACTCGTGGCATGGGTGACGGTGTGGCTCGAGGTGATCGCTCTCTCCTTCTGGGTCAGCACCATCGCCTTCCCAGGTATGCGTGGTCTTCCTTGCACTCTCCCCGCTCAAGTAGTCGCGCTGGAAGCCACTCGTGGCATGGGTGACAGTGTGGCTCGAGGTGATCGCTCTCTCCTTCTGGGCCAGCACCATCGCCTTCCCAGGTATGCGTGGTCTTCCTTGCACTCTCCCCGCTCAAGTAGTCGCGCTGGAAGCCACTCGTGGCATGGGTGACAGTGTGGCTCGAGGTGATCGCTCTCTCCTTCTGGGCCAGCACCATCGCCTTCCCAGGTATTCGTGGTCTTCCTTGCACTCTCCCCGCTCAAGTAGTCGCGATGGAAGCCACTCGTGGCATGGGTGACGGTGTGGCTCGAGGTGATCGCTCTCTCCTTCTGGGCCAGCACCATCGCCTTCCCAGGTATGCGTGGTCTTCCTTGCACTCTCCCCGCTCAAGTAGTCGCGCTGGAAGCCACTCGTGGCATGGGTGACGGTGTGGCTCGAGGTGATCGCTCTCTCCTTCTGGGCCAGCACCATCGCCTGCCCAGGTATGCGTGGTCTTCCTTGCACTCTCCCCGCTCAAGTAGTCGCGCTGGAAGCCACTCGTGGCATGGGTGACAGTGTGGCTCGAGGTGATCGCTCTCTCCTTCTGGGCCAGCACCATCGCCTTCCCAGGTATGCGTGGTCTTCCTTGCACTCTCCCCGCTCAAGTAGTCGCGATGGAAGCCACTCGTGGCATGGTGACGGTGTGGCTCGAGGTGATCGCTCTCTCCTTCTGGGCCAGCACCATCGCCTTCCCAGGTATGCGTGGTCTTCCTTGCACTCTCCCCGCTCAAGTAGTCGCGCTGGAAGCCACTCGTGGCATGGGTGACGGTGTGGCTCGAGGTGATCGCTCTCTCCTTCTGGGCCAGCACCATCGCCTGCCCAGGTATGCGTGGTCTTCCTTGCACTCTCCCCGCTCAAGTAGTCGCGCTGGAAGCCACTCGTGGCATGGGTGACGGTGTGGCTCGAGGTGATCGCTCTCTCCTTCTGGGCCAGCACCATCGCCTGCCCAGGTATGCGTGGTCTTCCTTGCACTCTCCCCGCTCAAGTAGTCGCGCTGGAAGCCACTCGTGGCATGGGTGACAGTGTGGCTCGAGGTGATCGCTCTCTCCTTCTGGGCCAGCACCATCGCCTTCCCAGGTATGCGTGGTCTTCCTTGCACTCTCCCCGCTCAAGTAGTCGCGCTGGAAGCCACTCGTGGCATGGGTGACAGTGTGGCTCGAGGTGATCGCTCTCTCCTTCTGGGCCAGCACCATCGCCTTCCCAGGTATGCGTGGTCTTCCTTGCACTCTCCCCGCTCAAGTAGTCGCGCTGGAAGCCACTCGTGGCATGGGTGACAGTGTGGCTCGAGGTGATCGCTCTCTCCTTCTGGGCCAGCACCATCGCCTTCCCAGGTATGCGTGGTCTTCCTTGCACTCTCCCCGCTCAAGTAGTCGCGATGGAAGCCACTCGTGGCATGGGTGACGGTGTGGCTCGAGGTGATCGCTCTCTCCTTCTGGGCCAGCACCATCGCCTTCCCAGGTATGCGTGGTCTTCCTTGCACTCTCCCCGCTCAAGTGGTCGCGCTGGAAGCCACTCGTGGCATGGGTGACGGTGTGGCTCGAGGTGATCGCTCTCTCCTTCTGGGCCAGCACCATCGCCTTCCCAGGTATGCGTGGTCTTCCTTGCACTCTCCCCGCTCAAGTAGTCGCGCTGGAAGCCACTCGTGGCATGGGTGACGGTGTGGCTCGAGGTGATCGCTCTCTCCTTCTGGGCCAGCACCATCGCCTTCCCAGGTATGCGTGGTCTTCCTTGCACTATCCCCGCTCAAGCAGTCACGGCGAAGCTGCTGGTGGCGTGGCATGGGTGACAGTGTGGCTCGAGGTGATCGCTCTCTCCTTCTGGGCCAGCACCATCGCCTTCCCAGGTATGCGTGGTCTTCCTTGCACTCTCCCCGCTCAAGCAGTCGCGCTGGAAGCCACTCGTGGCATGGGTGACGGTGTGGCTCGAGGTGATCGCTCTCTCCTTCTGGGCCAGCACCATCGCCTTCCCAGGGATGCGTGGTCTTCCTTGCACTCTCCCCGCTCAAGCAGTCGCGCTGGAAGCCACTCGTGGCATGGGTGACAGTGTGGCTCGAGGTGATCGCTCTCTCCTTCTGGGCCAGCACCATCGCCTTCCCAGGTATGCGTGGTCTTCCTTGCACTCTCCCCGCTCAAGCAGTCGCGCTGGAAGCCACTCGTGGCATGGGTGACGGTGTGGCTCGAGGTGATCGCTCTCTCCTTCTGGGCCAGCACCATCGCCTTCCCAGGTATGCGTGGTCTTCCTTGCACTCTCCCCGCTCAAGCAGTCGCGCTGGAAGCCACTCGTGGCATGGGTGACGGTGTGGCTCGAGGTGATCGATCTCTCCTTCTGGGCCAGCACCATCGCCTTCCCAGGTATGCGTGGTCTTCCTTGCACTCTCCCCGCTCAAGTAGTCACGCTGGAAGCCACTCGTGGCATGGGTGACGGTGTGGCTCGAGGTGATCGCTCTCTCCTTCTGGGCCAGCACCATCGCCTTCCCAGGTATGCGTGGTCTTCCTTGCACTCTCCTCGCTCAAGCAGTCGCGCTGGAAGCCACTCGTGGCATGGGTGACGGTGTGGCTCGAGGTGATCGCTCTCTCCTTCTGGGCCAGCACCATCGCCTTCCCAGGTGAGCTGTTGAGGCCGGTCTTTCCCAGGAATGCGTGGTGTTGCTTGCCCTATCCTTCAAACCAGCACTTCCCCACATGAGTGGTATGGACAGCTGCTTTCCGTCTCATTCCCTCCCCTCCCCCCCCTTCCGCTCCCCGCCCAACATGCAGCTGTGCAGCTGGTACAGATGGCGGTGCACGTGCAGTGCACCACGTGGCAGGCTCGCAGCACCTTTGTTCCCTTTCCCTTATGTGATTTCCCTCCTTGCACTGCCGTTTGCACTCCCCTCCACTGTCCCCTCTGTGAGCAGCGGCGCAGCTGGTGGTGCAGATGGTGGCACAGCTGGTGGCGCAGATGGTGGTGCAGATGGTGGTGCAGCTGGTGGTGCAGCTAGTGGTGCAGATGGTGGTGCAGCTGGTGGTGCAGCTGGTGGTGCAGCTGGTGGTGCAGCTGGTGGTGCACCACACGACATGGCGGGCTTAAAGCACCTCTCTCCTCCCTTCTCGCCTTGACGCTCCTTCGAGTACACTCCCATTCTCCTCCACTTCCCCCCCTGTGTCTCTGAGCAGTGGCGCAGCTGGTACAGATGGTGGTGCAGATGGTGGTGCAGATGGTGGTGCATATGGTGGTGCAGATGGTGGTGCAGCTGGTGGTGCAGATGGTGGTTCAGATGGTGGTGCAGATGGTGGTGCAGATGGTGGTGCAGATGGTGGTGCAGATGGTGGTGCAGATGGTGGTGCAGATGGTGGTGCAGATGGTGGTGCACCACGTGGCGGGCAGTGAGCACCTGTCCTCCCTTCCGTCACCTCACCTTAATGTCTATCCTTCCCCTCCCTCTCCCATTCCCCCCCTGTGTCTCTGACCAGCGGCGCAGCTGGTGCAGATGGTGGTGCACCACATGGCGGGCAGCGAGGACGTCTCCTCCACGGCCTTCTTCTTCGCCCTCTACTGCGGCCTGCTCCTCTCCTGGGCGCTCCTCAACTCCCTCTCCCTCACCTATATCTCGCGCCTCCTCGACGGTTACGTCTACTTCGCAGTAGCATACACTATTGTCATCGTAAGCAATGCTTCCCCCCTCACTGCTTTTCTAAGGCGCCTCAACTCGCGATTCCCTCTCCCTCACCTGTGTGTTGCGGCTCCTCTACTACGGCTACGTCTAATTGCCGTGGCATACACAATCACCATCTTGAGTGATGTGATGCCTTCCCTCCTCACTTCCCTCCGCAATTGCCTCTCCCTCACCTGTGTGTCGCGGCTCCTCTACCGGAATCACGTTTGAGAATTCTCAACACAGTGATTCCTTTCCCCACCATCTCACTTACCTGTCACACCACCAGTTAATAGTGCTGCCAGCAGTGGCAGTTACGTGCTGCCAGCAGTGGCAGTTAAGTGCTGCCAGCAGTGGCAGTTAAGTGCTGCCAGCAGTGGCAGTTACGTGCTGCCAGCAGTGGCAGTTAAGTGCTGCCAGCAGTGGCAGTTAAGTGCTGCCAGCAGTGGCAGTTACGTGCTGCCAGCAGTGGCAGTTACGTGCTGCCAGCAGTGGCAGTTAAGTGCTGCCAGCAGTGGCAGTTACGTGCTGCCAGCAGTGGTAGTGGAGCTCAAACCAGCCGCTCACCGGTGCAGCGTGCAGCTCACCGGTGCAGCGTGCAGCTATTAACTGGTGGTGACCAGCCACATTGATGGCAGTACTGCGGACCGCGGCCATTGTCTCAGATCCCGGACCTTTCCAGCATGGGACATAGGACCCGCTCCTTGTTGGCATGATCTGTGAGCCCAAGTACTTGGCTTGCCTCGTGACCATGTAGCCGTCAGACTTGATACACTGAGGTGACTTGATACTACGTTCGGCATGGCCTGTGCTCATCGATCCACGAAGCCAGTGAACAGGTGGCAGCATGAGCATCAGCAAAGTTGGCAGTCTCGCGCAGGATGATGCTTCTGGTCGCAATGCCCGATCTCCTGCCAAATATGGTCAGGATCACCGTCTCAGCAGTTACAGGCGGATGCTCCGATGCCAAGCGTGCCGAGACACTGGCACAGGCCAAGGCAATGACATCCGTGGTACTGAATGCCAGTGGTGGCTTGGGAAGATCAAGTGCCGGCTTGTCAAGCAGCACGGTCAACGTACGCCTGGCCATCCATGTCTGCGCGCGCGGCTTGGTCCGAGCGTGCGACTTGGTCCGCGCGCGCGCGACTTGGTCCGCGCGCGCGCCGACTTGGTCCGCGCGCGCGCGCCGACTTGGTCCGTGCGCGCGCAACTTGGTCTGTGCGCGCGAGCTGACTTGGTCCGCGCGTGCGCGCCTACTTGGTCCGCGCGCGCGCGCCGCCTTGGTCCGCGCGCACGCCACTTGGTCCGCGCGCACGAGCCGACTTGGTCCGCGCGCGCGCGCCGACTTGGTCCGCGCCCGCGCCGACTTGGTCCGTGCGCGCGCGCCGACTTGGTCCGCGGGCTCGCGCCGACATGGTCTGCAGGCGCGCGCCGACTTGGTCCGCTCGCGCGCGCCGACTTGGTCCGCGGGCTCGTGCCGACATGCTCAGCGGGTGCGTGCCGACTTGGTCCGCGGGCGCGCGCCGACTTGGTCCGCGGGCGCGCGCCGACATGCTCCGCGGGTGCGCGCCGACTTGGTCCGCGCGCGCGCGCCGACTTGGTCCGCGCTCGCACGCCTTGGTCCGCTCGCGCGCGCCTTGGTCCGCGTGCTCGCGCGCCTTGGCCCGCGCGCGCGCACCTTGGTCCAAGTGCGCCCCTTGGTCCGCGCGCGCGACTAGGTCTGCGCGCGCGCGCCGTCTTGGTCCGCGTGCGCACTCTGACTTGCTCCGCGCGCGCGCGACGACCTGGTCCGCGCGCGCAACAACTTCCGCGCGCGCGCGACTTGGTCCGAGCGCGCGCCCCTTGGTCCGCGCAAGCGCGCCTTGGTCCGCGCACACACGCCTTGGTCTGCGCGCGCGCGCGCGACTTGTTCCGCGCTCGCGATTTGGTCCGCGCGCGCGCGACTTGGTCCGAGCGCGCGACTTGGTCCGCGTGTGTGACTTGGTCCGTGCGCTCGCCTTGGTCTGCGCGCGCGCGACGTGGTCCACGCGCGCGACTCACCGGTGCAGCGTGGAGCTCCCGCGCCGTCACAGGCGTGTATTCCATCCCCCCCTCGCTCATAAGAATCACTATCATCCTTCCCCCTTCCCACCACACCACCACCAGTTAACAGTGCTGCCAGTAGTGGCAGTGGAGTTAAAGCCAGCGTCCTTCATCTTCCTCCAGTACCAGTTAGGCTGCTGATGGCGCCGTGTGCTCCGTGCTCCCCTCACACTTAAAGAATCACTCTCGTCCCGCTTTCCACCACGCTACACCACCATCAGCTGACAGTGCTGCCAGCTGTGGCAGTGGAGTTGAAGTCAGCGTCCTTCATCATCCTCCAGTGCCACTCAGGCTGTGCCGCGTGTGCTCAGTGCTGCCCTCACTCATAAGAGTACTCTCTCATCTTCCCGCTCTCCCTTCCCACCACACCACCACCAGTTAACAGTGCTGCAAACAGAAGCAGTGGAGCTCAAGCCACCCTCCTTCATTTTCCGCGAGTACCAGTCAGTCTGTGCCGTCACCGGCCAGTCAGGCTGTGTTCAGTGCTGCCCTCACTCATAAGAGTATTCTCGCAATCCCCCCCACCCCCTTCCCACCACACCACCACCAGTTAACAGTGCTGCCAACAGTAGCAGTGGAGCTCAAGCCACCCTCCTTCATTTTCCGCGAGTACCAGTCAGTCTGTGCCGTCACCGGCCAGTCAGGCTGTGTTCAGTGCTGCCCTCACTCATAAGAGTATTCTCGCAATCCCCCCCACCCCCTTCCCACCACACCACCACCAGTTAATAGTGCTGCCAACAGTGGCAGTGGAGCTCAAGCCAGCCTCTTTCATCTTCCTCGAGTACCAGTCAGGCTGCGCCATCACAGGCGTGTGCGCCGTGCTGCCCTCACTCATCCTCGCCGGCCTCATGCCGCACTTCTCCTACTTCGGATTTGATTCTGCCGCCCACGTCACGGAAGAGACGAGGAACTCTGACGTGTCGGGCCCGAGGGCGATTCTGGGGTCGTTTCTGGTGCAGGTGGTGTTTGGCTTCGCCATTCTCGTCATCTTCACTGCCTGCATACAGGTGAGTGCGTGACGTGTCTCCCCTCATGCGCCGACCACAGTCTCTTCTCTTCGAGGGCCATTCTGGGGTCGTTTCTGGTGCGGGTGCTGTTTGGCGTCGCCATTCTCGTCACCTTCACCGCCTGCATACATGTGGGTGGTGATTGCGTCTCCCCGCCCCGCATGAACCTACGACAGTCTTGAGACGTCTCAAAACTACGTCACCTTCACCGCCTGCATACAGGTGGGTGGTGATTGCGTCTCCCCGCCCCGCATGAACCTACGACAGTCTCTGGCGGCCCATTCTGAGGTCGTTTCTGGTGCAGGTGCTGTTTGGCGTCGCCATCCTCGTCACCTTCACTGCCTGCATACAGGTGAGTGCGTCCTGCTGCATGTGACTTATCTCATCTCATCTCGTCTCGTCTCCTCTCGTCTCCTCTCCTCTCCTCTCCTCTCATCTCATCACCTTGCATCGCATGCATGGCTTGTTGCAATAGTCTGACCACAAGCTATATCTCATCTCATCACCCTGTCCCCATCGCAGGGCGACTACCACACTCTCTATGTCGCTGGCTGCAACTCCTTCATGGATCCCGTCGTGCACCTCCTCGTTTCAAGTTGTGAGACGTCTCAACCCCCCCTTCCTCCTCCCCCCACCCCCCGTCCCTCTTCCCCCTCCCCAGGGCGACTACCACACTCTCTACGTCGCGGGCTGCAACTCCTTCATGGACCCCGTCGTGCACCTCCTCATATCCGTCTTCATCACTCGCTTCGGCTCCGCCACCGGAGCCTACATCCTCCTCCTCCTCATGGTCATCCACTTCTATGCCGCCGGCTTCGGGGTCACCCTCGCCTCCTCGCGCGCCATCTATGCGGCCAGCAGGGACGGTGCCATGCCGTGGTCGCGCGTGTGGAGAACGCTGTCGAGGCGCAACCGCATCCCTGTGCGGGCCATCTGGCTCTCCACCTTCATCGCAGTTGCTTTCGGCATCCCCTGCTTCTTGTGAGTCAGGTTCTAGTCCTTCTGCTGCTTCCACATGGTGTTTGTTTGGTTGTTTTTGTTTTGTTTTTGTATTGTTTTGTTTTCTTTTCTCTTTTTTTTTTCCTTTTCTTTCGCTCAGTGGTGTCCAGCAATGTTTTGTGACTCCCGCTATGCAGAGCCTCATCCCCCGCAACGCATTCCTCAACCCCCTCCCTCTTAATCCCCGCAGCTCCACAACAGCCTTTGCAACGGTGGCAGCAGTGACGGCAGCAGCATGGCTGGGCACGTACGGCATTGTCGTCTTCTTCCGCCTCATCATCCCTCCGCACCGCTTCAAACCGGGCCCTTTCTCCCTCGGCCGCTGTGCGCGCCCGCTGTGCGTCGTGGCGCTGGGTTATATAGTGTACACCATCGGGGTATTCATGGTGCCAATCTTCTACCCAATCACGTGGGAGACTTTCAACTATGCCCCCATTGGTGAGTTTGTTGCTTCGCTTCCCCTTCACATGCAGTTTGTGAGTGAGTGCGTTGGCATGTGGTTATGCCAGCACCTGTGGAACCCTTGTATCCCCTTGCTAATTGCTTTGCTAGCGTTACTGTGATTTGTGTTTCGTGCATGTGTTGGCGGCACTGCAGCGGCACTTGTGTTTATGAGCTTTGTCCTCCTATGGTGGATGGTGGATGCACATAGATGGTTTGTTGGCCCAGTTCCATCCGTAACTACTACACCATCAGTTATTGAGGTACACTCCGCAGCCTCACATCAGCCTCAAATGTTGCTGAATGGAATAGAACACAACTCGCCTAGCCTACCACAAATGGTAGACCTTTGACCACAGGCCGTGTAATGTAAATATGTATGTGTATGTCTATGTATTTGTTAATAACAATCTGTGTCTATCATTCTCAGGGTGTGCACATCCGGGAAGAGTAGTGGATATGATAACCACATCTGAAAACCCTACTTGCAATGGTGGTGATTATCATGCCTCTTTTGATTTCCATGATGACAGTTGGAGATAATACCGTAGTTCGTTGTATGTTTTTCACTCTTTGGCGAGGATACACTAAAAGCTTTGCGACAGTATGTCAGACTGACATGCTCCAGCGAGTGGCGGGAATGTTTTGAACTCTCGAGGAATGCGCGCTGCGATAGTAGCAAGCAAGCTTTCAAAGTACTCAGAGGTTGCCGAGCTGCTCCGATCATGCTGAGCTCAGTGTGCAAACCTCACTGAGCTGCTCTGGCTGACCGGAATAGATTCTCCCGCTTTGTTCTGCCTTTTGAAAGACAAGCCTTCAACCTAGTGTTGAACTCCAGTCTTAGTTGTTTGTCATGTTTCTGCTTTGCAACGGCGGATTCGGTAGCGGAAGCTTAGCTTCGGCGCCTTAGCTTAGATTACTAATCTAGTGGCTAGTATCTTTCGGTGGCTTGAGCTTTTGATTTTTTCTGCAGAGAAGCTTGCACTCCCTCAGTACTTTTAGCATTTGACAACTGCGCTGACTATACTTATTCCCTTCCTAGCTTTCTTACTTCACTCTTTAGCATTATTAGCCAATTCTGGCTGTTCGGAAAGATCATAGCTCGAAGATTTTTCAGCTATAGTTGACTTAAGCATATAGTCGGGTAGTCAGATATAAAGCTACTGATTTGTCTGTCCACTATTTTTCGGCGTCGCGATAATGGACCAGCCGGGTCACGCTGGCGGCGTAGGCCTCTCGGAGATGAAAGAAAACGTCAATCCTATCCTATTTTCGTCACCGGTAAGGAAGCTAGAGGCTAAAACGAAAAAAAATATGCATTAATCCTTCTGAGAAGCGTGACTTTAACGAGGGACAATTCTCTGCATTCCTGCAGGTTGTAAAAAACTCTCCGTTGCGGGGGGTTCTCAAGTCCCAGAGCTCCGTTGACGGAAAGCGTCATTTCTCTCCGAGCGGACGTCGGCTTTCACGCGGTCGCCGCGTGAGCTTCGCCAAGGATGAATGCTCCGTCCGCACCATTTCCCCTCGAGCGAACGAGCAAGAGTACGTATCGCGTCGCTTCGTTCGGTCCCCCATCCGCTTCTTCTCTTTGAAATCCCGTCAAGACCTCGCACTCTAACCTTGCTATCCTGGTTTCTTTCACAGAAATGACAAGCCCAAGGAGCCTATCATCCCTTGCGACAGCTTCGTTGCGATGCCAGGCGACAGCCCGACGACATTTGGTAACCAGATCGAGAACACGATGCGGTGGGAGGAATTCTCCATCACGCAAGCCGTGCCTAATCTTTGGAACCTCGCAGCGCGTGACTCGTTGGACGGCAAGCAGCTCCCTGCTCTGCCGGCAGCTGCACTGGCGGAAGGAACCAGTCAGCCGGCAGCGCAACCTGCAGACGGTCAGAAGGTCGGTGGAAAGCGGCAGCTTCCGGCCGAGGGATTAAGTCCGACCCGATGCTCCCCGCGACTGAAGAAGCGACAGGAGATTGCCGCACTGGCGGTCTCCTCGTCGCCGAGACCCCTCTTCGCGACGTCGCCTCCAGCGTCGCCGAAGTCGCCGAGATCGCCCAAGGCACCCAGGTCGCCGAAGTCTTCCAAGGGAGCGGAGTCTGTGTCGCCGAGGCGATCGCCGAGGAACCATGCGAAATCTCGCATGGCGTTGGACAATGCGACGGAGGTCGGGCGAGGGAAGGCGACAGCAGCAGCGTTCCCGGCAGCATCCTCTCCTGAGCCTGGAGAACGGGCGAAACGGAGGGTGAACACTCGTTGTAAGGACAGACGAAATTTTCAGGAGTGGATTCAGAAGGAAGATGGGAGCAGAACCGCGGCTGAGGATGCGAAGAAATGCGGCGGCGGAAACGATCGTGAAAAGGCATGCGTGGAAGGGAAGACTGGAGAGGTTGAGCAAGGGAAATCAGAGACAGCTGCTGTGTCCGGAATCGTCCGTGATGGCAGTGCGGGGAATGGGAGCTCGGGGCTCGACGAACCAGCTCACGTCGTCGCCGAGAAACAGAACCCGCCAATGGCTGTCTCGGCAATGGCAGCCGCGACGCCTGAGGGAGCGGTGGGCGGTGAGCAGGCGACTGCAGCGCGCGACGGAGAGACGCCAGAGGAGGCGATGGGATGTTCGGGCGTGCTGTCGTCGTTCCTCAGTCCAGAGCTCGACGACATGAAGGGCATGGGGCTGGGGTTCTCGCTCACTCCCGTCGACAAGACCAGGCCCGCTCTCACCGAACCCGAACGCGCAGCAGCAGCAGCAGCAGCAGCCATAGCCGCAGCGCCGGCGGCAGCCGAAGCAGCAGGCGAGGGTATTGCTGCCGCGCCTGAGTATCTCATGTCGTCGTTTCTGACCCCTGGTGTGTTGGACCAGAGCGATGGGGACCTTGACGGGCTGCTCGAGACGCCGGACGGGGCTAGCTCTGCTGGGGGGATGTGGGCGGGCGGTGCTGCTAGGTTGGATAGTGTGTTACTGGGCTCGGGGAAGGGTGTTGGTGCTGCCGGTTTCGCGGGTGATGCGGGGAGTCCGCTGCAGCTGGTGGGTGAGGCGGTCGCGCTGGATCCGCTTCCGCGCGTTCCGCTGGATCCTCCACAGGAATGCGCGCCGCTGCGTCTGGAGAGCGCGCTGAACGCCGCGCTGTTGCTGCCGGCGCCACTTACGGCGGACAATCAGGCGGATGAAGCGGTGGCCGTTGGGACGCTCTCCGGCGATGGCGCATTCGGCTCCCCGCAGCACAGCATGGGGGGAGAGGGGGGTGGCGGCGAAGGGGCAGCGGACGGAGCAGGGGGGAGTTACTGTGGGGAAGATCGCGCGCACGAGGTTGTGGGGAGGAAGGGGCGGCGGGAAAGCACTGGCACGAGTCCGGAGCCGGGTGCTGGGAGGGAGGGCGGAAAGGAGGGCGGCGGAGAGGAGGGGGACGCGGGGGAAGCGGGGGGCAGAGTCGAGGAGATGGCGGGAGAGGAAGAGGCGGCAACTGAATTTTCCACAATCGGCCGATTCCCCCACCTGAATGCCCGCCCCGCTGTGACCGCGACCGTGGGCGGGATGGCTGCTATCGAGGCGGGGACGGGCGCGGATGAGATGGAGACTCCGCCAAGGCGGGTGGCGGAGAGCAGGAGCGGCGGAGGCGGTGCGCGCGAGGCGGAAGGCGAGTCGGCGAGGGACGGGGACTCGCCCATCATGGGTGTGGTCTCCGCCGGCAAGGACGGCGCGGGCGGCAGCGCCAGGCAGGGCGGGGTGGTTGCGCGGATTGGGCGGGATGTGGACGATGGGGAGAATGGGAAAGATGCGGGGGATGCGGAGGAGCGGAGTATGGGGCTGGTGGGGTGGAGCGAGGGAGTGAGGCGGGCGTTCGAGGATGTGGAGATGGGGGAGGCGCTGGTGGGGGGGTTCGATCTGGAGGTTTGGGGAGCGGAGATGGCGGAAGGGATGGGCGGAGGAGCGGATATAGCGCTGGCAGATGGGGGGAGTGCGGAGCAGGCGCGCATCCGCGGCGTCCGGTGGCTCGAGCAGTTTCTCTCCAAAGCTGGGGTGAGTGTATCTCTTGGTGCTGGCTGTGAAGCAGTGACATCGTAGTCTGGTAGTCTGTTGATGCGTGAGCGTTCGATTCGGGGTCTTATATCCAGCGTTTTCACACGCTTTCGTGATCTCCTGCCCCGCATGTGCGCTCCCCCCTCCGCAGGTGACACTAGAGAAGCGCAAGTCGGGGGTGCTGGAGCAGTCCCCCTGGACTCCGCGCACGCCCAGGGAGCGCGCGGGGGAAGCGAGCGCGGGAGAGCGCCTGTTCCGCCGCGTGTGCCTGCAGCCGCAGGTGAGAGAGACGACTAGGGAGGGCACCGCACATGTGGGAACTAACAGAGTGATGGAGAAAGAGAGAGGATGAGAGCGGGTGACTGAGGCGTATCTATTCTATCAAGTGCAGCAGCAGGCCAAGATGATAAAGAAATGGGAAGGAGAGGACGAGATGTGCCAAGGGGGAAGTTGCTACTGAGAGGAAAGCAGAAATTCAGGGAGAGTGAACTTTGAAATAAACCACACAGCCGTTCGGTCATTCGCCCTGCACGTTTTATCTTACCGGTGTGCACTTTGCGCCAACTCACAAGTCACCTTGCTGCATGGTTTGCTGGCACCGCTGTGTGTGTTGTGCCGTGGGGCAGGAGGAGGCGGTGGAGAAGCTGTGTGCACCGTTGAGTGGACTCACGAGTCACCTTGCTGCGTGCTGTGCTTGCACTGCTGTGTGTGTGTGGGTTGGGGGCAGGATGAGGCAGTGGAGAAGCTGTGCGCGGAGCAGATGGCGCGGGTGGCGGAGGAACAGCAGCAGACAGACGCGCTCGAGGCCACCATGGCTGCCAGCAGCACCGCTCTCGCCCAGCTCGCTGCTGTGAGTGCCCCACGCTCGTGCCCCCTCCCCTCCTCCCACCTCTCATGTCTGTCCGTCGTTCCCTCTCTGTCTTTCCCACTGATTTCCCCCACACACGCATGCACACAGGTGCACACTGAAGATTGCTTGCCTATGATTTTGCTGGATTTTCACTCTGCCACTGCTCTCTTCTGCTCTTCCCTGATCCTTCTGCTCTTTTGCGCTCTGTTCTACTCTTCCCCCACCGCTCATTCTTCTGCTCTGATGTGCGTGCTGCAGCAAGGCAACCCCGAGCAGCAGAAGGTGCTCAAGGAGCGGCTACTCGCCCTCAAGAGCCTCATCAGGTGAGGCGGCAGCAGGGGGTTCTATGGACGGGGCTCCAGGAGGGGGGTCAACGGAATGAGCCGGTCGCATGGGATGGGGCGATTGGTGCTGATTCTGTTGCTGCCACATGATTGCTTCACAGCACTCGCACAGTTGGTTCGCACAGTCGATTCGCACATAATGAACCAGCCTGGCCACCAGCTATCCTCCAACACGCTCGTGTGGAGCTTGTTCCTCATAACTGATGTGTGCCGCATGTGTGTGTGGATATGCGTTCATGTGTGTGTGTGTGTGTGTGTGTGTGTGTGTGTGTGTGCATGCTTGTGCGTGCGTGTATGTGTGTGTGCGTGTATGTGCGTGTGTGTGCGTTTGTGTGTCTGTGCGCGCGTGCGTGCGTGAACGTGCATGTATGCCCCGGCCATGCATGTGGGGGTGGCAGGGTGGAAAAGAAGGTGGAGTGGCAGAGGGTGCGCGCGCAGCTGGAGGCGGAGAGGAGCCGCGCCCTGGACCACGCCGAGCGCATGCTGCAGGTGCGTGCTTGCGTGCTGGTGTGCTTGCCTGACTGCTTGCTTGCCTGCTTGCTTGCTTGCGTTGCACACTTGTTTGTGCTTCGCGACATCTCAAAATCGGACTGCAGAAAGCTCTTGGTTCAGCTGCTTCCACCTATTTGGCTCCAACGTTCTGTGTACTGAATTGCGCTCCACCCCTCCTGCCTCTCTGTTCCGTTGCAGGTGGAGCAGCAGTGCGTGGCGGAGCGCAGGGCGGCGGAGGAGGCAGCAGCGAGGCGGGTGGGCGAGCTGCTGGCGGACGTGAGGGCCAGGAGGGCGGCAGCGGAGCGAGCGCTGAAGGAGAGGGAGGAGAAGGCAGCAGCGCAGCAGCAGAGCAGGCTCCAGAGTCTGAGACAGCAGGTGTGCTTGTTGTACTGCATCCTTACAGGCTCATTAGAGGGGTTTTGCTGTGTCTGCAGGGAGATTTGCTGCCTAATCCACTGCTTTTGCTGTGTCTGAGAGTTGATCCGGTGACGCATGCAACCACTGTCACACTCATCTACCCACCCACCCATTCATCCACCCATCCATCCGTGTGCGGCATGGCAGAGGCAGCGTCTTCTGGAAGAGACGAACGCCGTCCGGAGAGAGCTGGCCGCCCGCCACCAGGCACTCCAATCTATGAATAGTCTTAAACATTCATCTATCCGTTCACCCACCCACCCATCCATCCGTGTGCGGCATGGCAGAGGCAGCGGCTTCTGGAGGAGACGGACGCCATGAAGAAGGAGCTGGCCGCCCGCCACCAGGCCCTGCAGGCCGGCTGCCAGGCCAAGGCGGAGGCCCAGACGCAGACAGGGACACAGACACAGACACAGGCACAGGCACAGATGCAGCGACAGACAGTGGCGCAGCCTGCACCTGGGATGACAGAAGCAGGAGGAGGCCTCAGGGCTGCAGGTGATGCAGCAACGGCTGCTGCAGGGGAGACGGGGGTGGAAGGGGCTGAGGGAGGGAACGCGGGTGCTGTGTCGGACCCACTCAGAGCTGCCAAGATAGCGGAGTTCCTGCAGGTACAGAGCGGTTCTGGTTCCTCGCTGTTGCCACCCGTCCCATGTGATCTGAATGTTCTACCCACTCTTAAAGCCCAGAACACCGAAGCTGCTCATCTGTAGCTGGGTGGCGTGTTCTCCCCCTCTTTCGTGATTCTCCCAACATCTGCCATCCCTACCACCCCTGCCAACCGTGCCACTCCTGCCTTCCCCCTGCCAACCCCTGTTTCCCTCTGCCTCCCCCCGCCCTTCCCCTTGCCATCCCCTGCCCCCCCCTGTCTCCCCCTGCCACCCTGCGTGCCGCTGGCAGGGGTGGAGGCTGCGTGAGTTCCAGCAGTCACGAGACGGCACACAGATGGACCTCATGCTCTCCGTGCTCCACTTTGTCACCCTCAGGTGGGCTGCTCGCACAGTCAATTTGGATCCATGGGTTGGGGGGGGGGGGGGGGGGGGAGGGTTGTGTGTGCATTGCTGCATGGGTGTACGTTGCTGTATGGGGGGGTGGGTGTGCATTGCTGTATGGGTGTGTGTGTGTGTGCATTGTTGTATGGGTGTGTGTGTGTGTGCATTGTTGTATGGGTGTGTGTGTGTGTGCATTGTTGTATGAATGTGTGTGTGTGTGCATTGTTGTATGGGTGTGTGTGTGTGTGCATTGCTGTATGGGTGTGTGTGTGTGTGCATTGTTGTATGGGTGTGTGTGTGTGTGCATTGCTGTATGGGTGTGTGTGTGTGTGCATTGTTGTATGGGTGTGTGTGTGTGCATTGCTGTATGGGTGTGTGTGTGTGTGCATTGCTGTATGGGTGTGTGTGTGTGTGCATTGCTGTATGGGTGTGTGTGTGTGTGCATTGCTGTATGGGTGTGTGTGTGTGTGCATTGCTGTATGGGTGTGTGTGTGTGTGCATTGCTGTATGGGTGTGTGTGTGTGTGTGCATTGCTGTATGGGTGTGTGTGTGTGTGCATTGCTGTATGGGTGTGTGTGTGTGCATTGCTGTATGGGTGTGTGTGTGTGTGCATTGCTTGTATGGGTGTGTGTGTGTGTGCATTGCTGTATGGGTGTGTGTGTGTGTGCATTGCTGTATGGTGTGTGTGTGTGTGCATTGCTGTATGGGTGTGTGTGTGTGTGCATTGCTGTATGGGTGTGTGTGTGTGTGCATTGCTGTATGGGTGTGTGTGTGTGTGCATTGCTGTATGGGTGTGGTGTGTGTGTGCATTGCTGTATGGGTGTGTGTGTGTGTGCATTGCTGTATGGGTGTGTGTGTGTGTGCATTGCTGTATGGGTGTGGTGTGTGTGCATTGCTGTATGGGTGTGTGTGTGTGTGCATTGCTGTATGGGTGTGTGTGTGTGTGCATGCTGTATGGGTGTGTGTGTGTGTGCATTGCTGTATGGGTGTGTGTGTGTGTGCATTGCTGTATGGGTGTGTGTGTGTGTGCATTGCTGTATGGGTGTGTGTGTGTGTGCATTGCTGTATGGGTGTGTGTGTGTGTGCATTGCTGTATGGGTGTGTGTGTGTGTGCATTGCTGTATGGGTGTGTGTGTGTGTGCATTGCTGTATGGGGGTTGTGTGTGTGTGCATTGCTGTATGGGTGTGTGTGTGTGTGCATTGCTGTATGGGGGTTGTGTGTGTGTGCATTGCTGTATGGGTGTGTGTGTGTGTGCATTGCTGTATGGGTGTGTGTGTGTGTGCATTGCTGTATGGGTGTGTGTGTGTGTGCATTGCTGTATGGGTGTGTGTGTGTGTGCATTGCTGTATGGGTGTGTGTGTGTGTGCATTGCTGTATGGGTGTGTGTGTGTGTGCATTGCTGTATGGGGGTTGTGTGTGTGTGCATTGCTGTATGGGTGTGTGTGTGTGTGCATTGCTGTATGGGTGTGTGTGTGTGTGCATTGCTGTATGGGTGTGTGTGTGTGTGCATTGCTGTATGGGTGTGTGTGTGTGTGCATTGCTGTATGGGTGTGTGTGTGTGTGCATTGCTGTATGGGGGTTGTGTGTGTGTGCATTGCTGTATGGGTGTGTGTGTGTGTGCATTGCTGTATGGGTGTGTGTGTGTGTGCATTGCTGTATGGGTGTGTGTGTGTGTGCATTGCTGTATGGGTGTGTGTGTGTGTGCATTGCTGTATGGGTGTGTGTGTGTGTGCATTGCTGTATGGGTGTGTGTGTGTGTGCATTGCTGTATGGGTGTGTGTGTGTGTGCATTGCTGTATGGGTGTGTGTGTGTGTGCATTGCTGTATGGGGGTTGTGTGTGTGTGCATTGCTGTATGGGTGTGTGTGTGTGTGCATTGCTGTATGGGTGTGTGTGTGTGTGCATTGCTGTATGGGTGTGTGTGTGTGTGCATTGCTGTATGGGTGTGTGTGTGTGTGCATTGCTGTATGGGTGTGTGTGTGTGTGCATTGCTGTATGGGTGTGTGTGTGTGTGCATTGCTGTATGGGTGTGTGTGTGTGTGCATTGCTGTATGGGGTGTGTGTGTGTGTGCATTGCTGTATGGGTGTGTGTGTGTTGTATGGGTGTGTGTGTGTGCATTGCTGTATGGGTGTGTGTGTGTGTGCATTGCTGTATGGGTGTGTGTGTGTGTGCATTGCTGTATGGGTGTGTGTGTGTGTGCATTGCTGTATGGGTGTGTGTGTGTGTGCATTGCTGTATGGGTGTGTGTGTGTGTGCATTGCTGTATGGGTGTGTGTGTGTGTGCATTGCTGTATGGGGGTTGTGTGTGTGTGCATTGCTGTATGGGTGTGTGTGTGTGTGCATTGCTGTATGGGTGTGTGTGTGTGTGCATTGCTGTATGGGTGTGTGTGTGTGTGCATTGCTGTATGGGTGTGTGTGTGTGTGCATTGCTGTATGGGTGTGTGTGTGTGTGCATTGCTGTATGGGGGTTGTGTGTGTGTGCATTGCTGTATGGGTGTGTGTGTGTGTGCATTGCTGTATGGGTGTGTGTGTGTGTGCATTGCTGTATGGGTGTGTGTGTGTGTGCATTGCTGTATGGGTGTGTGTGTGTGTGCATTGCTGTATGGGTGTGTGTGTGTGTGCATTGCTGTATGGGTGTGTGTGTGTGTGCATTGCTGTATGGGGTGTGTGTGTGTGTGCATTGCTGTATGGGTGTGTGTGTGTGTGCATTGCTGTATGGGTGTGTGTGTGTGTGCATTGCTGTATGGGTGTGTGTGTGTGTGCATTGCTGTATGGGTGTGTGTGTGTGTGCATTGCTGTATGGGGGTTGTGTGTGTGTGCATTGCTGTATGGGTGTGTGTGTGTGTGCATTGCTGTATGGGGGTTGTGTGTGTGTGCATTGCTGTATGGGTGTGTGTGTGTGTGCATTGCTGTATGGGTGTGTGTGTGTGTGCATTGCTGTATGGGTGTGTGTGTGTGTGCATTGCTGTATGGGTGTGTGTGTGTGTGCATTGCTGTATGGGTGTGTGTGTGTGTGCATTGCTGTATGGGTGTGTGTGTGTGTGCATTGCTGTATGGGGGTTGTGTGTGTGTGCATTGCTGTATGGGTGTGTGTGTGTGTGCATTGCTGTATGGGTGTGTGTGTGTGTGCATTGCTGTATGGGTGTGTGTGTGTGTGCATTGCTGTATGGGTGTGTGTGTGTGTGCATTGCTGTATGGGTGTGTGTGTGTGTGCATTGCTGTATGGGGGTTGTGTGTGTGTGCATTGCTGTATGGGTGTGTGTGTGTGTGCATTGCTGTATGGGTGTGTGTGTGTGTGCATTGCTGTATGGGTGTGTGTGTGTGTGCATTGCTGTATGGGTGTGTGTGTGTGTGCATTGCTGTATGGGTGTGTGTGTGTGTGCATTGCTGTATGGGTGTGTGTGTGTGTGCATTGCTGTATGGGTGTGTGTGTGTGTGCATTGCTGTATGGGGGTTGTGTGTGTGTGCATTGCTGTATGGGTGTGTGTGTGTGTGCATTGCTGTATGGGTGTGTGTGTGTGTGCATTGCTGTATGGGTGTGTGTGTGTGTGCATTGCTGTATGGGTGTGTGTGTGTGTGCATTGCTGTATGGGTGTGTGTGTGTGTGCATTGCTGTATGGGGGTTGTGTGTGTGTGCATTGCTGTATGGGTGTGTGTGTGTGTGCATTGCTGTATGGGTGTGTGTGTGTGTGCATTGCTGTATGGGTGTGTGTGTGTGTGCATTGCTGTATGGGTGTGTGTGTGTGTGCATTGCTGTATGGGTGTGTGTGTGTGTGCATTGCTGTATGGGTGTGTGTGTGTGTGCATTGCTGTATGGGTGTGTGTGTGTGTGCATTGCTGTATGGGGGTTGTGTGTGTGTGCATTGCTGTATGGGTGTGTGTGTGTGTGCATTGCTGTATGGGTGTGTGTGTGTGTGCATTGCTGTATGGGTGTGTGTGTGTGTGCATTGCTGTATGGGTGTGTGTGTGTGTGCATTGCTGTATGGGTGTGTGTGTGTGTGCATTGCTGTATGGGTGTGTGTGTGTGTGCATTGCTGTATGGGTGTGTGTGTGTGTGCATTGCTGTATGGGTGTGTGTGTGTGTGCATTGCTGTATGGGTGTGTGTGTGTGTGCATTGCTGTATGGGTGTGTGTGTGTGTGCATTGCTGTATGGGTGTGTGTGTGTGTGCATTGCTGTATGGGTGTGTGTGTGTGTGCATTGCTGTATGGGTGTGTGTGTGTGTGCATTGCTGTATGGGTGTGTGTGTGTGTGCATTGCTGTATGGGTGTGTGTGTGTGTGCATTGCTGTATGGGTGTGTGTGTGTGTGCATTGCTGTATGGGTGTGTGTGTGTGTGCATTGCTGTATGGGTGTGTGTGTGTGTGCATTGCTGTATGGGTGTGTGTGTGTGTGCATTGCTGTATGGGTGTGTGTGTGTGTGCATTGCTGTATGGGTGTGTGTGTGTGTGCATTGCTGTATGGGTGTGTGTGTGTGTGCATTGCTGTATGGGTGTGTGTGTGTGTGCATTGCTGTATGGGTGTGTGTGTGTGTGCATTGCTGTATGGGTGTGTGTGTGTGTGCATTGCTGTATGGGTGTGTGTGTGTGTGCATTGCTGTATGGGTGTGTGTGTGTGTGCATTGCTGTATGGGTGTGTGTGTGTGTGCATTGCTGTATGGGTGTGTGTGTGTGTGCATTGCTGTATGGGTGTGTGTGTGTGTGCATTGCTGTATGGGTGTGTGTGTGTGTGCATTGCTGTATGGGGGTTGTGTGTGTGTGCATTGCTGTATGGGTGTGTGTGTGTGTGCATTGCTGTATGGGGGTTGTGTGTGTGTGCATTGCTGTATGGGTGTGTGTGTGTGTGCATTGCTGTATGGGTGTGTGTGTGTGTGTGCATTGCTGTATGGGTGTGTGTGTGTGTGCATTGCTGTATGGGTGTGTGTGTGTGTGCATTGCTGTATGGGTGTGTGTGTGTGTGCATTGCTGTATGGGTGTGTGTGTGTGTGCATTGCTG